GGCACTGGGCAATGCTGAGGGCTGGTGCTCACCCAACCACCCACAGTACCCACCAGGAGCTTATGGGTCTGGGCTCTCATCTCAGGAAAGAAGCTTTGCTAATATGCCAAGATGATACCCTGATGCCTGCCTGTCTGGAAAGAATCTGATTTCCTCACTAATTATGACCAAAGAGTTTCCAGCAGCCTGTGGGTTCAGCCCTATCCCTGCATGGAGGCCCCACGGCTTCCTTCTCTTACCATCTTGGCACCAATTCTTCAAAAGACAGTGGGGACCCAGGGATGCTGGGTACTATCAAGGTTGCTCAGGGTCCTTGGGGGGCAGGCACCCCCAAGGGTCTGCCTAGGTCTAGGGATGGAAAGATTTGAGGTGACAAAGATGAAGAGGGAGATATTTAGATGAGTTGAAGTGTAAATAATAAGGGTCAGGAAACAAGGGATTCTGGGTTCAAATACCAGCTCATTTATTTATTACGTATTTGGGCCATTTCCCTTCTCTTGGCCTCAGTTTACCCTTCTATAAAATGAAGAGGTTGGATTAAATGATCTTTAAGATCCCTTCTCTCTCTCTGTCTCTGTCTCTCTCTCTGTCTCTGTCTCTGTCTCTGTCTCTCTCTGTGTTTCTCTCTCTCTGTGTCTCTGTCTCTGTCTGTCTCTTTCTCCGTGCCTCTGTCTCGCTCTGTTGTGTTTTTTTTTTCATACAGACCTATCCTAACACAGGGCACTCCCAATGAGGAAGCTCCCTCTATCAGTACAGCTGGCCCCCTCCTCTGTAACTTATCATCTTAGAGGTCTGCCTGGACCACTGAGAGGTGGTGACTTGCTCAGGGGCACAAAGTCAGTATGTGTCAGAAGTAGACTCGAACCCAGGTCTTCCTGATTCTTGGGCTGGTTCTATCCATTATTCTCATTTTACACATGAAGACCACCTACCAGTCAGCAAATGAAGTAGGAGAGGGAATGGAGGCAGTTGTTGACTCTAACTCCCAGGAGGCTGGGTTCCCAGAGGCTGCACCCCAACAGTGAAGAGAGGGGGGAATACTAGCAGGGGCTGCAATCCTGTTATAAAGTAAAAGATGCTGGGACAGCTAGGTGGCGCAATGTATAGAGCACCAGCCCTGGATTCAGGAGGACCTGAGTTCAAATCTGCCTCAGACACATAACCCTTACTATCTGTGTGACTCTGGGCAAGTCACTTAACCCCATTGCCTACCCCCCCCCCAAATGCTTAAGGAGGATTTTTTTTTTCAATTGGAGTAAGCACTTTGGAAGTAGTTCCTGGTTCAGAGAGGGAGGAGAGCTTTAAGTGACCCAGCTGATTAAGGTCCCTGGAGTTCTGAGTCCCATCGGTTTCTTGTCTCATAGTGGCAGTTTCCCCAGAAGAGGAGGCACCCTCTCTACTCTTCACCCCTGATCTCTTCACTCTCAGATTTTAAAAATATTTTCTTTTTTTCCAATTACGTGCAAATTTTTTTGCCATTCTTTTTTTTTTTTTAAATTTTGAGTTCCAAATTCTCTTCTTGAGAATTGAGAAGGCAAGCAATTTAATATAGGTTATACATGTGTCAAATACTTTCACTAGCCTCTTCAAGGCTACACCCTTTCCCTCAATCCTACTATGGGCATGACTGGTGGATGATGCATGAAGCACAGATACTATCGAGGAGAGAAAGTTCCCCTCCCAGCCTGGAGAGTGCTTCTCTTTTGGGCCAAGGGCCTGGCCACCCCACGTCTGAAATTTGTTCATCCTGGTGTGGCCCAGCATGACAACTTCAGCAGCTTTTGTGTAAGACTTATTAATGTTATAGAAATATGATTTATTCTTATTCTTATTATATTATTTTTCTGGACCTATGATTTCATTAGTGTAGGAATCTTCCAGAAAATTTTGTCAGTGTAAATCACTGTAAAATTGTTTTGTAATTCATTGGCTTAGTTGCATCTGAGCAATTGTGACTTGCCCAAGGTCATGTAGCTAGTTGGTGGCAGAGATGGGATTTAATCCCGTCCTTCAGACTCCTAGTCACATATTCTTTATGAGAGGTTATATCGTTCTGCTTTCTATTCTCAGGAGAGATAATACAGGTAGACTTCTCTGGCAGCCTTCATGGGGCTGAGCATTTCACAGAAAGCCCTCCCTCTCCCAACCCTTGCTCTGAGGGGTGTGTGTGAAAGGGGAGAGAAGCCAAGTCCAGTTTTCCCGAATACAAATGAAAGGAATCTCATTATTTTTTTGAGTGCTGGTGCCTATGTCCCGCCCACCACTGGGCTTCCCAGCTTCTACTTCCTGCTGCCTGTAGTAATGAGCACCCTCTCCCCCACTAAAGCAATCCAAGGATTTACAAGTAGATGCGCCATCTAAGCCAGTGGTTCTTCACCTTTGTGACCCCCTTCCTGGACCCCAGTTTGGGGAAACCTATGGACCCCTTCTCAAAATCATGGTTTTAAATGCATAATATAAAATATATTGGATTACAAAGGAAACTGATTCTATTGAAATTGTTATCAAAATAATTTTTAAAAAGTTCACAGACTCCATGTTAAGAACCGTTGTTCTAAACTGACCTTGGCATTTTACAAATCAGGAAACCGAGGCTCAGAGGGACTTGCTCAACCAAGGTCACACAAGTGGTCACCTTCCCATGTCACGCCGCTCCATGGTCTTGTTCCAACTCCCGCCTTCTTTCTCAGTCCCCCATCCTCAACCTACTAACCTACTGCCCTCTGTGCAGTCCCATCTGTACAATGTCACGGCTGTCTTTCTGTTGACTCCTTAACAGGGGAAGGGGAGGAGTGGGGGAGTGGGCTTCTGCTTGGCATGGCATTTTAGAAATACCAGTCTGGGGGATGTGCAGTTCTTAATTTTGTTGTTGCCTGGTAACAGCTTTTGCATTGTGACAAAAAAATGTGTATCACACGTACACATACACACACAAGTACAAACGTCTATACATCTTGTAAGGGGACTCACTACACCCGTGCCACAGGAGACAGGGAGGGCAGAGTAGATTAGTGGGTAGAGCCCAATGTCTCTGCCTGCTTTTGGAATAGACCCTGGTGCTTCTCTTCCTGTTCAGGACCCAGTGGAGCAGGAATGTGGCTCAAAGTATGCCCATTTGTGGGTAGGCTATTAGGGAGGAAGGAGAAGGGGCCCTGGTCCAGGGACCTACTAGTTGTCCCCTCCCCCACCCCTGCAGCTGGCTCTTTCCACCCAGAGAAACACAGCCGGTGCCACCTCTCATTAGGTGATGATTTTACATTAATTACGTTAATTAAGCGGCACTGAGTGCTAATGGCTCTTGGTGGGAGGGGGGTGTCTGGGTAACCTCTGCTACTAATTACCCTCTCTGGCAACAGGAACAGAATTGCAGGACCTGGCCTCAGAAGAGGAGTGACCTGTGTTCAGTGGGAGAGGGGGTGACAAATAGTATGGCCGAGGCCTGGGGTTAGTCCTGACTGGCCCCCTCTCCAATTGCTACCAAAATCCTAACTCTGACTCTTTTTTTCCCAAGCTATATTTTAGCCACCTTGGCTATGCCTCTTTGGCATCAGGTACCCATAGTCTCAGTACATTCTATCTTGGGGCATTGGGATTTGGCCCCTTGAAGATGGTTGAATAAAAATCTGCTTTGTTCCCAAAGGAGAGGGATCATGGCACCATAGACTCTAGAGATGGAAGAGTCATCTCCTCCAACCTCTTCATTTTACATTGGGGGGAACTGAGGTTTTGGAGGTTAGGTGGCTTAGCTTTGGTTATCGAACAGGCTGGAAAGGGCAAGAGATTTGGAGTTGAAGGGCCTTGGTTCAAATCCTACTGTCACCATTGACTGCCATGGTGCCCTGGGTCAAATTACTTCACCTCAATCTCATTTTCCTCCTTTGTTAAAGGACAAGGCTGGACCTTATGAGCCCTAAGTTCCCCTCCAGCTCTAGACCTGTGATTCTGTGATTCTCTGACTGGGGAGGGGGAAGAGGAACATAGAATCTAATGTAAAATCATAAAGTGATAGGCCGAGAGGGACTGGAGAGCTTAGCTAAGACAGCTGGGGTTCCCAGTGGTGAAGTGGCCGGGCCAAGGGGACACAACCAGTAAGTTGTGAAGGGGAGGCTCCAACCCGAGTCCCTTGACTCTGGGCTCTTGGTGCCATATCCAACTTGCCTTCATCTGCATACAGGGCTCTACTGATTTTGAAGTTCTTTCTTTTTGTCCACTCTTATCCACCAAACAACCTCCCTTTGTGAAGCAGACAGTTTTGGGTTTATTACTGATGTTTTACGGACCAGAGAACTGAGGTTCACTGAGGCTGTAGGATCATAGCTCTACAGCCGAGAGTGACCTCAGAGGTCATTGACTCTAGCCCCATCATTTTACAGCTGAGGAAACTGAGGCAGAGAGCAAAGTGATTTGTCCAGGGTCACACAGCTAGGAAGTATCTAAGTGGGGATTTGAATCCAGGTAGAATCAGGCCTATTAGGACCCAGGTCTCTTGACTGCATAGTGAGTACTCTTTTGTTCTCTATACCAGACGTGTCAAACTCACACCTACGACACTCCTTGGTAGAACCAGATTAAAATGTAATTGGGAAACGTTTAACAAAATAAATAAAAGTACAAGAAATCATCGAAGACATCACAGTTTAAGCCGATGTGCAGCACAGGATCTCCACGTATGGAGTAGTGGCTCCTGTTTCTATATATTTGAGTTTGACGCCATCAGTTTCTTGGCTTCCAGTTTTCTTCAGGGGAGCAGCCAGGTGCTGCAGTGGCTAGAAAGCTTGCCTTGGACTCAGGGAGACTAGAGTTAAAATCCAGCACCGCCAACATCAGACACTAGCACCGTGACCCCGGACGAGTCACTGAATCGTTGTTTCTCTGAATCTCAGTTTCCTCAATTGTAAAACGGGCATTATAAAAGCATCCACAAACACACATAGTAGGTCCTATAAACACTCGTGTGCCCCTGCTCGTCCTTTTTAGTGCCCTGGGAACCCCTCACTCACCTTAATCTCTACACCATAGCCAGGATAGACGGTGATGTAGTAGAAACAATCCAGGCTGATGTCATCCGATGAACTGGGTCCTTCTGGAGAGTTCAGAGAGCCCTGAGGCCTGGTGAAATTCCAGCTACAAGGAGCTACATGCCAAGGGGAAACAAAAGGAAACCCTCGGTTACCCTGAGCTTATTGGGAGATCAGGCAGTAAGCGGACTTGTGTTTCCCTGACCCTCCATCACCTCCCAGAAAAACCAGCCTGCTCCTTTCTGGGGAGCGTTCCGACTTTCAGGTCAGGTCACTGCCATGGGAGCCAGTGGCCATTACTAGTCCAAGGGCACCCTGGCCTTTGACCAGCAGCCTATGGGGATCGTCCAGAGGGAGAAGGGGAGCCCTCGGTGCAGATCCTGGAGGTTTGCCCCTGCTATGCCCCGGCCCTGTCCTTAAGTAGAGAGCAAATCACCACAGCCACCATCATCACCTCCGTCATGACCACTGCCACTATCACTTTTTTTTTTTTGGCTAGGCAATGGGGTTAAGTGACTTACCCAGGGTCACACAGCTAGTAAGTGTCAAGTGTCTGAGGCTGGATTTGAAGTCAGGTCCTCCTGACTCCAGGGCCAGTGCTCTATGCACTGCGCCACCTAGCTGCCCCAACCACCATCACTTCTATCTTAAGTCTAAAGCTAGCAGGCACCCCGGGGGTCATCTACCCCAAACCGTCATCATACAGGGGAGGAAACAGGGCCAGTGAGTACAACTTGCCCAAGGTCACCTAGGTAATAATTGTTCGAGGCAGGATTTGAACCCAGGTCTCTTGTGCTGCCTCTTACCAATTATTCAGGCATTGTCTATTATGAACAAGTCCCTGTGGTTGGGGCACCTGTCATCTCAAGGGACTCTCACAAGTACCTGGTGTGTTTGGCTACCAACACGCTTTGCTTCTAATAGTGACAACTAGAGGCCACAGTGGCTAGAGTGCTGAGTCTGGAGTCAGGAAGACCTGAGTTCAGATGTGACCTCAGATACTTACTAGCTGTGACCCTGGGTAAGTCACTTAACTTTTGACTGCCTCAGTTTCCTCGGCTGTAAAATGGGGATCCCAACAGCACCTACCTCCCAAGGTTGGGAGGATCAGATCAGATAATGTTTGTAAAGTGCTTAGCACGGTGCCTGGCACATAACGGGTGCTATGTAAAGGCTTATTCCCCTTACCTCGCCCCTCCAGTACCAGTTACAGGAATCTGCCTAGCTTTTGGGGGGCAGCCACTGGCTTTGTCTAAGGGAGGGCTTCTGGGGAGTCCTTTTCCAAGGATGCCCAGCCCATTCCCGGGGTTGGAGCCTGACCTGGCGGCTGCACGGTGGTGATGGTGGTCGTTGTGATGATGGTGGTGGTGGTGGTTTCCTCATCGTCCCCCGAGGCGGTAGTGGCGGCAGGAATCCCTACTCCTGGCTCTCTGGCCCGAGGGGGCATGACCTCTGGGACCCAGGGCTGGGCCAGGTCCACGGGCACGTCATGGGTCACCATCCACGCGCTTCTGGGAGGTGCTGTCACGGGCACTTCAGCCCGGGCCAAAGACGGTACAGCTCCTTCCGGCCCTGGCGGGGGGGCCGCTGTAATGGGCAGAGTGGGCCGTGCAGGCTCTGGACTCTGAGCCCTGTCCCTCCCCAAGGTGTACGTGGGGCCCGGAGCCATGGCTGGGGTGGGATGGGTAAAGACGGGACGGTCGTCTTGGTGGGCCAGATGGACCAGAGGGCTGGGGACGAAGAGCGTTGGTGCATCAGGCTGGAAGGGGACCGGCCCTCGATTTGGGAAGGGAGCCGGCTTCAGCTCCTCCTCTTTTGCCTGGGTGTCCTGCAGAAACTCCTCCAGCAGCGGGTGATGGTTGAGCAGTTTCAGGGTCGGGGCTGTGCTCACAAAGCGGACCCCTCCCTCAGGCTGTTCAGGTGTGGGAGCTACCGTCAGCTCACCGTCTGTCTCTGCGCTGTTTGGGTTCTGGATCTCGGAGGAGAATCCTGGAAAGACAGTAATAACAGCTCACGTTTCCATAGCTTTTGAGGCTTATGACGCACCATGAAAGGTGAGCATCGATCAATCAATCGGCTATCATTTATTAAGCACCTGCTGTGTGCCAGGCGCTATGGGATAGGGAGTGGCCCCAGACCTGGGGTTTTACTGATAAAGAAACCTCTAGGGGCAGCTAGGTGGTGCAGTAGATAGAGCTTCAGCCTTGGGGTCAGTAGGACCTGAGTTCAAATCTGCCCTCAGACACTTGACACTTGATTAGCTGTGTGACCCTGGGCAAGTCACTTAACCCTGGACTGCCTCACCAAAAAGAGAGAGAAAAAAAAGAAACCTCTAGTGAGCAAACTCCCTCTGCCTGAGTAGAGGGTAGTGCTTGAGTCTTGGAGTCAGGAAGACCTGTGTGGGAATACCACCTCTGAAGCTCACTGACTGTGGGACATGGGGCCATTCCCTCACTTCTCTGGGCCTCAGTTTCCTCCTTGGTACAAAGATGACAGCAGTAACTATCTCTATAGGGTTATTGTGAGGATCGCGTGAAATAATGGACACAAAACAGTTTCCAAATCTTAGCAAGATATATATAAATGGAAGCTCTCATTATCAGAGCTGGAAGAGACTTTAGAAATCATTGATCAGAACCCCCTTCTCTATTTCCAGATTAGAAAAAAATAACAGGCCTGAAGACATCCAATGAATTGTCCACGGTCCACCCAGGCAGGGAGCAGAACTGTGATTTGAACCCAAGATCCTTGGTAGAATGTAAGCTGCTTGAGGGCAGGTACCATCTCACTTTTGCTTCATAAATGTCGTTGATTACCTGATCGGTTCTTTGCCTCTAAATCCAGGGCTTTTTCCATTGTGTTACAACCCTGGAGGCCATCTGGTCCAGACAATCTCATTTTACAGAGGAGGAAATTGAGGCCTGTATGGGTCAGGTGACTTGCCCAGGGTCACACAGCTGCTGTCCAAGGCCAGTTTTAATCTCGGGTCTTCTGGAAGGGGTCTTTGTTGTTGTTCTGCTGTTTTTAGTTGTGTTCTACTCTTCATGACCCCATTTGGAGTTTTCTTGGCAAAGATACTGGAGTGGTTTGCCATTTTCTTCTCCAGCTCATTTTAAAGGTGAGGAAACTGAGGCAGATAGTGTTAAGTGACTTGCCCAGGGTCACACAGCTAGTAAGTGTCTGAGGTAGGATTTGAATGCAGGAAGATGAGTTGTCCTGACTCCAGGCCTGGCGCTCTGTGCATTACGGTGCCTCCTAGCTGCCATAGTTCAGGACATTGAGGCCCAGAGTGGTCCAGATTGTTAGGGTTGAGGCTAGAGCCTGGGTCTCCTGATCCCACCCTATTTCTCTTTCCCGGACTACCTGTTACAACTTCAATCTCAGGTCCTATTTTAATTCATTTTCTGCCCTTTTAGAGGCCAATGAATTATGGTTCTTAGCAAACTTGTCCTTCACAGTCTGCACATTCTTTCTGGAGTCCTCCATCAGCACAGACGCCCCCTGTTAGGTCCACAGAAAGACAAGTTTATTTCACTTTTCCCTGAGTGGGTCCTTTTCTCAACCATTTCATTACTTCCATTCAGTGGTGCACTGGAGCTGGCTTGTACAGCTTGTGAGAGCAGATGGTTAAATTTCCAGGGTGAACATTTTTACACCTCAGAAATCAGCAAACTACAAGTCAGGATTTGACTTATTGTTTTGTTCATTGTGTAGACTCGAGAAGGTGATAGAGAAAACATTAATAGTGCAAGATCAATTTAAAAGTGTGTCATGCGCACATCCACCCCCACCCCAAAGCTGGTTGTTAAATATTTGCCAACAAATCCCCACTTCCATGTCTCACTTGTTCTCTCCCTGTATTCTTCTCACCCTTCTTGAATTGTGGGGTTGCTATGAAATGAGATTCAGGGGTCAAGTGACTTGTCCAGGGTCCTGTCAGTCAGTCAGTTGATAAACATTTATTAAGCTGGAGATACAGATATGAATCAGCCAGCCAATTTTTTTTTGTTCAGTCATTTCAGTCACGTGAGAGTCTTTGTGACCCCCTTTGGGGTTTTCTTGGCAAAGACACTGGGTGGTTTGCCATTTGCTTCTCCAGCTCATTTGACAGGTGTGGAAACTGAGGCAAACAGGGTGCAGTGAGTTGCCCAGGGTCACACAGCTAAGGAAGTGTCTGAGGTCAGATTTGAACTCAGGAAGAAGAGTGTTTCTGATTCCAAGACCAGTGTTCTATGCACTATGGCACCTCCTAGCTGACCCTAGTGAGCCAATAGGGATTTATAAATTAATTACTGTTTGCCAGGCATTTGGAGATATACAAAGAAAGGCAAAAAACAGTCCCCTCTCTTAAGGAGTTCAAAACCTAGTGGAGGAGACAGCATGCAAATAGCTGTGAACAAAAAAAACTATAGAAGGAATATATGGGGCAGCTAGGTGGCACAGTGGATAGAGCTCTGGCCTTGGAGTGAGGAGGACCTGAGTTCAAATCCAGCCTCAGACACTTGACACTTACTAGCTATGTGACCCTGGGCAAGTCACTTAACCCCGACTGCCTCACAAAAAGCAAATATGTGTGTGTGTGTGTGTGTGTGTGTGTGTGTGTATACATAATGGAAGAAATTATTGAAAAAAATATAAAAACATATAGAAGGAATTGGAGATAACAGAGGGAAGGCCCTAGGATTGGGAAAGGTTTCCTGTAGGTCATACTTGTAGTGCCTAGGATCCAGTGAGGGTTCCACCTGCTTGAAATATGATTAAAAACTTCCACTACCTCTATTATCACTTTTCCTGGATGATTTAATTGCTTTGCTATATTGATTGATAGCTGCCCAACTCATGGTCTACTAGGACCCTCAAGATCCTTTTTCTTGCAGACCACAGGAGGAGGGTGGGGGGGGTGAGGTCAGTGAAAATGGGCTTCTTGGAGTTAGGGGTCATTGACCTCAAGGGTCCTCTTGTTTCAGATGCAGATGCTTACAAGTTACCCAGACCTTCCCACATGTGAGGATGCAAAGAGGTTTTTGATCTATGACTATTTCAAAATGGTTCCATGAATAGCTAATGAAATGACAGGAAGGGAAATAGAAGCGAGGCAAGAGAATGGAGGGGATACCGGTTTGGAAGGAGACGATCAGGTCCTCTGCTTGTCTGGAAGTGGGGCTGCCAGCCCCTGGGCAGGCTCGCACCCACCCCGTGAATTGGCAGGCAGGGAGAGAGGGGAGAAGGGTTGGACAGATGGCGCGCATTCTGTTCTCAAGAGTACGACAGCACTGACGTTCCTGGCGCCCGGGAGCTCTGGGGAGTGAGAACCAAGAAGAATTTGGCAGGCTGGGAGGGGGGGAGGGAAGGACGAAGGGAGAAAGCAACGTGGCTACCCGGCTTTCTGGACAAAGAGGCGCCGAGGTACCTCCAAACTCGGAGGACGCATTGGCCCCTTGAGATCACAGGAGGAACAAGTGGGCTTGCGTCCTCTGGCAGAGACACAGCTTGATAAGATGCCATGGCTTGGCCTTCATGTGTCACCTCCAAGAGCAGATGGTCCTCTAGTGCCGCCTCTCCCATCGGTATCAAAGAGCTAAGGCAACAGATGGTGCTTCTGGGTTTTGGGCCTTCACCTACATCTCTGCAGGTGAAGATTGTTGGCTGGCTGGCATCCTGGGTTTGGAGTGCTATGCCCAGGGACTCATTTGTAGTGCACATAACCTATCTGCCTCACCAGCCACGCACGTCTCCTGCGAGCTAAATTTTGTGGTGGCTTTTTTAAAAAATTAATTTAAATTTTAAGAATTAATTAAATTTAATTTTTTCAATGAACAAAAATCTAGTTTCTCTCCCTCCCATCTTTCCCTACCACTAAAAAACAAAAACAAAACCTTTTTTTAAAAACAAATATACAAAAACCAAATACACACAAAAATACATAAAACTAGTAAAAATATACAATATTGTACTGTATATATATCCAATATACAGTATTGTATATATAAATGTATAGAAAATAAACAAAAGCAAGCAAAACAAATTCTTGTTTTGGCCATGACTGAATAATATATGTATCGTTCTGCGTCCCGAGTCCTCTCTGTCAGATAGCATGCTTTGTCACCAGCCTTCTGAAATCATGTTTGGTCATTGCATTGATCAGTCTTTCAAAGCTATTTGCCTTTATGGTACTGTGATTATATAATTTGCCCTCCTGGTTCTGCTCCCTTCACTTGGCATCAGTTCATATAAGTCTTCCCAGGATTCTCTGAACCCATCCCTTTCGCCATTTCTTACAGCTCAGTAGTATTCCCTTACATTCGTAAATGTGATCTTTGTCGCGTAGCTAGGTGGAGGGAGGTCCCTGAAATGGGATGGCCTTACAGGGAGAAGACATGCTATAGTAGGTACAGCATTAGACTTGGGGTCAGGAAGAACTGGCTTTGAATTCTCCCAGGATACTCTCTAGCAATGTGACTCTGGGAAAATTGCTTAACCTCTCTGTGCCTCACTCCCCTCATCTACAGAGTGAGGGGCTCAGCAGCTTCTGAGGTGCACTCCAGCTCTACGATGCAGTCTATGCTCCTATAATCCGCCGCAGAAAGATGCCCCTGTTTCTCACCAAGAGGCACAGGCTGACTTTGCCTGTCGGCCAGTCTGGTGTCCTACGTCTCTGCCTCTCTGAGGATGGCTCATTACCTGGGTCCTTACCCCTGATGTCTCCCCCCATGCCCCCAGTCCCCAGCAAGGTCAGGCGTCTTGCTGCCTCCGTTCTTAGCAGAAGCTGAGAGACACCTTTGTTCACATCAATTGCACTGATTACTTTGGGGGGAGGGTGGGGGAAGGAAGGAATGCGTCCTCGGTTAAATGGGATCGAGATAAGGTATCAAACAAGTAAATTGATTTGGCAATCAGCTGCTTCCGAGTCTCAGTTCTGTTACCACCTACTGCTTTGAGACATTAAGGTAATCTCGGTTAGACACAGTATTTCTCTAGGAATTGCGGGGAGGGGTCCAGGGCTAGAGAGGACATAATTAAAGATGCCCTTACTTTGTGTGAAGAAGGCCCATTAGCCCTGTTCTTCTTCCCCATGCCCTAGTGCCCCCGTGTTCATGGCCAAAGGGTTTGATGCCTATTGAGGAAATAGGAGACAGACTGAGGGATTTCTTCCGATCCTTTTCGTTTTGGCCATTCGCCAAGCTGTCTGTAGTGGGGACCAGGAACTGCAGAAGCTTTGTAACTCACCTCTAGGGCCAGGCTGTCCTGTGTGGTGAGACCTTCATCATCATCATCATCAACATATATTTTTCTTTCTTTTACAATTTTACAATTCCATGTAAAAACAATTTTTAACCTTCTTTGAAATTTTTTGAGTTCCAAATTCCACCTCCCCCCTTGAGAAGGCAAGCAATTTGATATAGTTAACATGCATTTTTTAAGAGACCACTTCTGTGGGGCAGCTCGGTGGTGCAGTGGGTAGAGCATTGGCCCCGGAGTCAGTAGGACCTGAGTTCAAATCCAGCCTCAGACACATAAGACCCACTAGCTGTGTGACTCTGGGCAAGTCACTTAACCCCAATTGCCTCACCAAAAAAAAAAAAAGAAAGAAAGAAAGAAGAAGACTACTTCTGTGCCAGGCATTGTGCCAAGCCCTAGGGATACAAAGAAAAAGCAAAAACCCAGTCCCTGCCTTTAAGAAGCTTACATTCTTTTTTTCTTTTCTTTTTTTAAAAATTAATTTATTTTGGTTTATCAACAATCACTTCCATATGCTTTTGAGTTTAAAATTTTTCTCCCCCTTCCTCCCCACCACCCTCCCCAAGATGGCACACAATCTGATATAGACTATACATATACATTCCTTTTTAAAAAATTTTTTAATTTTTTTTTTTATTTTTAGGCAATTGTGGTTAAGTGACTTGCCCACGGTCATATAGCTAGTAAGTGTCAAGTGTTTGGTCTGAGGCTGGGTTTGAACTCAGGTCCTCCTGACTTTAGGGCCCATGCCCTATTCACTGGGCCACCTAGCTGCCCCGTGGTACATCACTTTTAAGGAACCTACCTATTGAGTAAAGCAAGATACAGTTGTAGAAAAACATACAGCCTGTTCACTGCGCCACCTAGCTGCCCCCATATACATTCCTATTAAACATATTTTCACATTAGTGATGTTGTAAGTAAGAATTAGAGCCAATAGGAGGAACCACCAGAAAGAGGAAACAAAACTCAACAGAAGGAAAAATAATAGCAAATAGTATGAAGAAGCTTACGTTCTAATGGAGGAGACAACACGAAACAAACTAGTTAATCGGAGGGAAGGGATCAGCAGGAGAGCCTTCTGAAGAAGGCGAGATCTGAGTCTTGAAGGGAAGCCACGAGGCTGAGGTGAGACAGGAGAATGTTGCAGGCCTGGAGGACAACCAGGACAAAGACATGGAGTGAGGAGATGGGATGTCATGTGTGGGGAGCTGGGAGAAGGCCAGTGTTGGGTGTTAGCATACACAGAGGGAAGTCAAGTGTAAGAAGACTGGAAAGGTGTGGAGGAGCCAGGCTGGGAAGGACTTTAAAAGCCTAACAGGGGGCTTTTAGATTCAGTCCTGGAGAGAATGGGGAGTTGATTGAGCAGGAAAATCACTTTGGCAGCAGAGTGAAGGATGGACTGGAATGGGGAGAAGCTTGAGGTAAGGAGACTGGCCAAGAGGCTTTTGAAATAGTTCAGGTATGAGAAGATGAGGGCCTGCCCCAGAATGGAGGCAGCATCACAGAAAAGAAGAGTATCTATATGAGAGATATACTGTGAAGGTTGACATGATAAGACTTGGCACAGACTGGCTATGCGGAGTCAGCGAGAGTGAGGAGTACCAAGATTGTGAGCCTGGATGATTGGGATGATGGTGGTGCCCTCAATAGTAATGAAAAATTCAGAAGAGGACAGCGTTTGGGGGGAAGGTTTTTGGACGTGTTGCGCTTAAGATGTTGATGGAACATCGAGTTGTCCAATAGGGAGTTGGTGATTCCAGACTGGAGGACAGCATGGAGGCCGGATCAATGGATCTGAGAATCAGCTGCTTAGAGATGATGAGTAGATGCATGGGAATTGATGAGATCACAGAGGAGGTAGTACAGAGCAGAGGCATCACTGCAGGTTGCCTACAACCTCCAGAGGGAGGCTGAGCCAGATGAAAATGGAATTAAGAAATATTTAACCAAATAAGGAAAAATGCAATAGAATATAGACAATGTTAATATGTGGTTTCCTAAGTCAATCTGTACCCTCAGGGATCTTTTATGTAAGGTTTAGTGGCCCCATTTCTCTTTGAGTTTGATTCCACTGGAATAGAGGGAGAAAAAAAGAGGGCTCAGGTCAGACCCTCGGGGGGCACCCATGGCTGGTGGGCATGAATTAGAGGAAGATCTAACAAATCGACTGAGTGGTCAGTTGAATAGGAGGAGAACCAAGGGGGCAATGCCACGAAAAGATAAAGAGGAGAGCGTTCAGGATTGTTGACACCTTCCCCCCGGAGTTCAGCCATAAAAAGGAGGAAAGATGCTGGCCACTGGGGAAGCTTGGGTCAAGATCTCACTATGTCAAGCCTTCTGAGGTCCTGACCATGCTCCTTCACCCTTGCTGTCTTCCCAGCTGCTTCCTTTACTTCATACTCTTGGGTATTGTAATCAAGTCAACACTGCTATTGCTTCTGGAAAAGGCATGTCAGCCAACCGACCCTTGAGAGCTGCTCACCATCCCTCTGGCTCCTCTGACTCAACTTCCTTCCCTGGCTACCACTGCCCTGGATGGGTTACCTCTCCCTAAATAGAATGTAAGCCCTTCATGGGCAGGCTCTGTCTCACTTTTTGTCTTTGTATTCCTGGCTCTTAGCATAATGCCTAGTACAATAGTAAGCGCTTTCTCCTTCACTCTTAGATTCTGGGACAAGGGGTTGACTGACACCAACCTGTGGGCATAGGGTTTGCAGCTTTAGGGACTAGTTGGCAAGAGATGGAAAGGGGAAGGTTGAGCAGTGGTAGAGAGAAGTGGAGGAGAGTTGAAGATCCAGATTCTCAGCCTCCCCAGGAGACACTAGACTGCCCAGGAAAAAGGGCACTAGGGTCCACTGAGTGGGTACGGCCCTAGATAAGTGTGAACTCTGAGTGTTGGTCAATCTTGGGCAACAATCTGGGGGTGGCGGAAGAAGGTAGGGGAAGAAGGAGAAGGTAAAGCCCATTCTAAGCTGTTAGCTCATTACTTGAAGGATGATGTCCAAATTCCTTGATATTTGTGGCCCTTTCATGGCCTCAGTAATTGAATCTCGGATGATTGCCTAGTCTGAACCTTGACCTGCCAGCTCGAGGCTGACCTTCAGATCCCTACCTCTGCTGGAGATAGCACAGATTCCCGCTTCACTCTGACCCCCCAAATCCACTGTTCTCTTGATAGGGGGACGTTTACTCAGTTATTGCTTCCCGAGGTCCTCTGGGCTGTTGCTTTCCCTGCCCAAATACTCTCTGGTCTTTCTGTCGGCCATGACTGAAACATGAATTTGAGCCCTCTTTCACATGTTTCTCCTTCCTCTGTAGAATGT